CAATGCTTAAATTACAAAATTATTTTTTCTGTTCCCATAGGCAATTCATAATTACTGAACAATGATCATCAAATACTCATGCAAAACACATTTATTTTTAAAAACAAACTTATTTTTAAAAGACAGAAAAAAGTTGTTTGATGAAAAACTGGGGAACAGTGAATGAGATACAGATTTTTGAATAATTTAAAACTGGGGAAAAGGGGTGTAAACGCTTTTTATTACACCTTTTTCCACCAGTTTTTAAATATTCAAAAATCTGTATCTCATTCACCATTCCCCAGTTTTTAGTCATAACAACTTTTTTCTGTCTTAGAAAAATCAGTTCTACAAGATATCAAACATTATTTTTTTTGTGGAGTTTGAATTTAAATTTTGAATATTATTACCAAATCCAATAATAGTGGTTTAAATTCAATTTTTCATTTAAAACTCACTCACCTGAGCATTACAATCAACTGCACAATAAAATTGAATAAACGTAGTTCAAATTATAATTTTCTATGATGAATATTTTTTTTTACAAATCTGCTAAATTATACATTCAACATTTGGGAATATAAAATGTGAGATTCTTGAGTCTGGTCCATTGTCAAATTCAAATTTATAATAACGCATTTATTGGTTATATTGAATTGAGATATATATATATATATATCTGTCTCTTATACACATCTAGATGTGTATAAGAGACAGGTCTCCCATCCCTCTATTTTATATTAAATATTAATTGTTTCATCCCCGCACCCCACTTTAATTATTCACTATAGGCCTAGGCTTAGATATTTTCTCCTCTTTGTTACTGACTTATCCAGCTGTTGTATGACTACTTTCTTCTCATTGGCGGCTGTTTGTATTCGGCGGCCTCTTTGACATTCCATACATTTGGCGCAGCGGCCAAAATGATCGAACACCGACCTAGAAAAGGCCTACGCTCTAATTAAAAGGTAATAATATTGATTAATTTATACACTTATCGGGTATATTTTCAAACAACACCGCCAACGTCTCGCAACTCACTTCCAGCGGCCTAGCCTAAGCTGCAGCTGTCTATATTACAAATCGACCACCGCGCAGCGGATAGCACCGGTAGACCCACGCTATACCAGCCGTAGACCAGTGAGAGGAAGTTGGGCCACAAATTAAGGTGATACGAGGTGATCTTTAAGTAATGGAGATTTTCTGCTTTGTACATTTTTAATGGGGGAGGGTGACTGAGGGCACAAGTTTTTTTTTGGGAGGACATGCTTCAAATTTCATTGAATAATTATACAATTAACATGAAAATGAACTGCAATATAAAATTATTGGGGTTGATGACCAGGCCAATTTTTAAGCGTTAATAACTCACCCAAAATTTATAGTAGGCTGAAAAAATTGTAGTTATCATAGCTATATGATTAAATGTACCCATGAATCTGTGGTGTACGAAAATAATATCTTCCCAAAAAATAAATTGTTAAAATACAAACTTGATCAAAACAAATATTTGTAAAAACAAGGGAATTTCTACTCATTATATTGAACAACGCACGGATTGAATTGACGGTAAATCAACACACATGGGAATCTCCGAATTGGGTCGCATGTATTTTGTTAACAGTTACGACTCAAAAAGATTGAACCACCAAGTTTGACTTTCGTAAATAGCTGTTTAATTCAATACAATTTTGCAGGTTTTATTAAACGTATTTGATTTGGTACAGTAGCATTTTATTTCAATCATTAAATGAATTATTAAATCATAGTGTAACCTTTCAAATAAAAGTGATATTATGAGCTGGACATACAGTATGGGTATTCTTTTAATCTATGACTCTATTCGCGTCATTTGAAAGACCACACTTGACAAGTTATTCAGGCCTACGTCTCAACATGGAACTTCCATGCTAAATACAAACCATTAACCATGAAATCAAAGATTTTTTTTTAGGCCTAATAGCCTGTATTTTTGTACGATATTCAATCATCACAAAGTGAATACAGTTTTAATTATATGTGGCAAAGACCAGCCAAACCAGTCACTCGTCTCCAAAATCGATTTTGAGTTATTAGTACTGCGTTTAAGAGTAAAATAAGAGTTATAAAATGCTAAAAAAATTATTCAAATCTGACATTCGGTTTCAGAGAGGGTCATTCCACTAACGCATTATTACAGGCGCTTGATAAAATATCAACAGCACTTGACAACAAGTTGTTAACGATAGGAGTATACTTGGACCTCTCTAAGGCTTTTGATTCCTTAGATCATAGAATACTCGTTGATAAGTTACCTTATTATGGTATTAGGGGTATTGTGCTCGACTGGTTTCGCACCTATTTATATGAAAGGGAACAATATGTTGATGTGTGTAATTGTAAATCTGATGTAAGACATATTAAGTACAGCGTTCCTCAGGGATCGATTATCGGTCCCTTACTATTTAAAATTTTTATCAATGACATGCCATCAGTATGTAATTATGCTCATTTAATCATGTTTGCAGATGACACTAACCCATTTTTAGAACATAAAAATATATCTGATGCATATGAGACAATGAATTCTGAACTTAAATGCCTTAATGAATGGTTTATTAATAATAAGCTTACTGTAAATACAAACAAGACAAAATACATGATCTTTAGTAGGAAAAATACAATTTTTGACTCTTCAAATCTAGTGCTAAGGATTGGTGATGAAATTCTTGAAAAAGTTGAAAATACGCAGTTCTTGTGAGTCATCATAGATGAAAAGTTAAACTTCACAAGCCATGTAAATACAATTGCAAGTAAAGTATCTAAAATTACAGGTGCTATGAACATTTTAAAAGCTTTTCTACCTTTTCAAGTACTTCTCATCATTTATAAATCACTCATACTACCAACTCTCACTTTATGGTTTATCAATATGGGGCTCGGCAAACAAAAATAATCTTAATAGAATTCATACACTTCAAAAAAGGCACTTTGCATAATTTGTAATGTTCATTTCCTTCACCCTTCAAGGCCTCTTTTTATTGCAACAAAAACATTAAATATTTTTGACTTATATGAAAAGAATATTTTAACTCTTTGTTCAAAAACCAAGGAGGGAAATTACCTGACTCATTCGATGATTTTTTCCATACCTTTGAATCTCATCATAGCCACAATACAAGGAATAAACATAAATTTGTCATTGATTTCAAAAGAACAAACGTCGGGCAAAAATGCTTTTCTTACAGGGGGTCAAAGTTGTGGAACCAATTATCGGATGAGTTGAAAAATTGTAAAAATATTTGTTCCTTTAAATATAAATTAAATGAGAGGTATATGAGGGTTTACGAAAATGAGATGGTTCGATGTAATATAAACAACTGTATATTTTGTAATAATCTTTTATCAACCACTTAAATAAATGATACATTAACTCTAATCATAATTGATGCCTAATCATATTGGTGAAAAATAACTTACAGTAGTTCTTTAAATGTTAAATGTCATTTTCTACTAAGTTTTTATTATTTTATATAGGGCTCTGCAAATAAAAGCTTGCTTATTCGCAGAGTTCCTTTTTCACGAATTGATCATTTCCTTGTACTTATATTCTCTTTATTATTACGAATTATAATCACATACTGTACAAATTGTTATATTTTATGACAAAAGTGAAATAAATATTACTTGACTTGACTTGGCTTTTAACAATACACATAGACATGTAAAGATAACACATTCTAAGAAGAATGGTATTTATACCATTGTTACACTATATTTCAGCATGAATGTAAAATGGACTGAATGTAAGATTAATCTCAAATAAGATAGTATAATACTCCAAGTGTCGAAATGCACGCCATCATGTCAGAATTTTTTTCTTCAATATTTCGACATTAATTATGTCATCATCAGGAATGAAAAGTTATCCAGTACCAAAAGAGTTTTACCAAACAAAACATTACCCCCTAGTAGGTTGACATAACTATGAATAAACTAAAGATCAAAGCATCCTTACCCTACTGATCAAAGCTACCTACAAAAACAAAGAAAGCTCCTTTGAAGCTTTCAGCCCATTGTTAAGCAATGGGCGTTTATTTAAACAGTAGTATAGACCAATTTTGCGAACTGTCAATAATGAATGTTATAAGTCAATCGTGACGTCATCACTGTAACTCCCAATGTTATTTGCCTATTCCCCAGCGTCCACTAATTTTTCTATTAGTGGACGCTTGGCTTGATTTTTTTTAGGTTCGTGTGCAAAAAAAATTCCTCATTTTTTTGTCATCGCGAATACATCGCGCACCGCGATAAAAATTGAATTGTAATTGAAAATTACTTTCGTAAAACAAGCTTAATTGAACCGAAGAAAATTACTTCAAATTCAATATTAAGTAGAACAATTAAGGAATTCATTGAATCAATGGACCCTCATAAACACAACAAACTGAACGTTTATTAGGAATATTCTAGACCTATTTTAAAGACTCAAGGAACAAATTTAGATGTAGGCTTACGGCGGCCAGGCAGGAGGCCGCCCGGGCCTCCTCCTACTACTACTACTAGGCCGTAGCCTAGCCTAGTTATGAAATCATCGCACGATTTTACCTGTCTGCATGCACCGACCAAAAAGGACGTCAGTGACTGTATTCTCTCTCGAATGCTGAAATGTTTATTTCTATCGAAAGTCTATCAAAATAGCATTACAAACAAGTTCTTTCTAACACAATAGTTTTCATCGTATCCGTACTGTACTGCTGATATGTAGTTAATTAAACGCGTACTGCAGGAGCAAAAATCAGCATACGCACAGCTAAATGTAAATACGCACACGTATACTGATCATGTCACTATAGCAACCGATGACTGCTACAACAGTTGGTTATAAAAAACTAAAATTAACAGACGGTGATTGAATTATAAGGCAATTAGTAGAGCATGCATCGTACACTAAATGAAAAATTATTATACTTAGGTTAGATTTAATGCATTCAAGAAATTTTTTCAAGCATTAAATCTAACCTTCGTACAATAATTTTCCTATAGTGTACTATGCGGAGCTCTACTAATTGCTTATTAGTATTAGAAAACATTAAACCTAATTTATTACTTAATTTTCAGGCTACATTATAATTCTTGATAGGGTTTACAATAAGAAATTGATATCTACTAGTCTTAGGAAAAATATGTTAAGGAAACTACTTAGGGACTGCTGTACTAAAACTGTATTTACATGTAATAATGAATTCTATAAACAAACTGACGGCGTTTAGAAAGGCTCAACACTTAAACCAGTTTTAGCCAATATTTTAATGACTGAACTAGAAGAGTCTATTGTTCCTATATTTATAGAATCAGGTATTATTAAGTTTTATACTCGTTTTGTTGACGACACCCTTGGCTACCTATACCTAATGATTTTCATCCATCCTACGTCATTTTAACGCTTTTCATAAACGATTAATTTTACCTTTGAATCATTTGAATACAGCAATATACAGTAGTAGATTTTCTGGATTTACAATTTAACAACAGCGTAGGAAGCAGTGGCGGCTCTAGGATGTAATTTATGGGGGGGGGCTAAGATGTCCGACTGGGAGGGGCTAAGTATTTATGGGTATAAGTATAGCGCACAGCGTTATCTGAGGACCGAAGACCCGAGCCAGGGGTGGGTATGAGAGGGGATGTGCCCTCCTCCCAAAACGAGATGTATGTATATATATGTATGTATGTGTATATATATGTATGTATGTGTATATATATGTGTGTGTGTGTGTGTGCGCGTGCGTGTTGAGTGTTGCGTGTGTGTGTGTTGCATAAATAGAAGAAACAAAAAAGAAAAACAAGAGGGGAAATTAAATGAGATTTTTAAAGGATTGTAAGGAAAGTGAATGAATATTGCTACAAAGGTCTGATGATAGATTATTCTATAATTTAACTGAACGATATTTAAAAGTTCTTTTTCCAAAATCATTTTGCCATTGTGGTAAAACTAAATTGTTTTTCAATTTACTTCTTGTATTTATGCTATGGTAAACATCAATTAATTTGTAAAAATTAGTTCAATATTCAGGAACAATGCCTGATAATCATTTAAATGTCATTAAAAGAATATTATGTTCCCATTGTTGGTTTACATCCTTCCAGTTAAGAGATTCCATAAGGTCATTAACAGGTATTCTAATATCAGATGAAAAATAATTCTGGCTAGCCTAATTAGTAAAACCTGGAGTGCATTAAGGTGCGCAGCTGTGTAATTGGACCATACAGTACTACAATAATTGAAAAAAGGTAATACAAAATAATTTGCTAAAAGTCTAAGAGAAGAATATGGTAAAAAATATCTTAACTTACAAATAACACCAATGCGTTGAGAAATTTTGGAACCACTAAGGAATATAGGAGTTCTGTTGTTTATCATTTTAAATAAAAATGCAAAATTGCAAATATTGATAATTTTTCATTCCTGATGATGACATAATGTTAAAATATTGAATCCCGACACGATAGTGTGCATTTCGATACTTGGAATATATACTATACTATCTTCGCTAACACATCCTTTCAAAAATGTTCATAACAAAACCATGCCAACATTCTTTAATATTAATTTGACAACATTATTTCTCGCACGTACAACTAAAATCCAACTGTTTTAACATTGTTATATTCAACCATGAAATTTCCCTGTAGTGGGATGAATCAAGCCTCCTTATATCCTTGTATTTTTTTTTAAAGCTGTGATGGAGCATTTTATTTTTTAAAATAATAGCCTACTTACATATCCACTATTATAAGATACTTATAGATGATGTAATAAATGCTCATGAACTTTTACTTGATGTGCAGATAACAAGTTTTGAACCTCTTTTAAGATGTACCACAGAAGTTCTGTCATTGTTAGTGCGGTCACAGATTTGATTATTTGTAATTTTAGGCAATCTGCTTTAGTCAAATTATAATTTATGTTCCGAAGGTCTCATAAAACAATTGAATAAAACTCAGTTTTCTATCTGTTTCAGATACGTTTGTTCTCAAGGCATTCAATTGAAATTCTAATACCTTGTTTTCCTTTTTGTACATTGATTCTACTTCATTCTTCATCTTTTCTCCATTCTCTTTGATTTGTTTAACCATTTCTTGCACATTACTGTTAATAAATCTTAAAGTCGTATCTTTTTTTTCTTCTGATTTTTTAGTTTCATACTGTAATTTGATTATTTTCTGATTTGACACCTCCCTTTTTTTTTTGTAGCTTGCTTCTACTTTAATTTTCAGTTTTTCTCCTTTCTCGATGAGTTCCTTGATCATTACTTCCACATTATTTTGAATATCTCTCAAACTCCTATCTCTAATTTCTTCAACTTCTGTTATTTTCTGATTAAGTACTCGTAAATCATCCTGTAATGTGATTTTGCAGTGACGTGCATCTTTCTCCAATGCTGCTAGTTTTTCTTTATAAATATTTGGTATGTGTTTGTGATGATCACTGGCAGCTGTACTGAAAGAATCCTATGGGTTATAATATAATATTAATAACAAATTAAAGTTCAATTACCCATTTATTAATATTCAGAATAAGTAGAATTATGTCATGTTTTTTAATATGCACATCTTTCATATTGTCTTTGCTTGGACAAATTTTGAAAAAGATAAGCATGGAAGGCCTATGTGACAGAAAAACCCTGTGCAAAAGATAAAAAAATGAAATGGGATAAAACGGGAACCAGTCAACTCATAAATGGGAAAAGTAAATATAGTTTTTATAAAATTTATAAAAACATAAACTAGCTATAAAAAGAATTGAAAAAAAAAATGATATTTTTAGGCACATACACATGAGATGGCAGTGAAGGTGCAGTGTGTGCAACAGTAACTTTATTGTATACAGTAGTATATTTCAAAATTCAGATATACAGTATTTGATTTAACAAATTAAATTAATACCGTAACCAGTAATAGACCTTTATTATGAATAATTCAGAAGTTGATAATGATACAACTATGTACTGTAAACTTGAATTTTCATGTATGTGAACTGCAAGAAGAAAAAGAACATTGTTTTTCAATATCGGAACACACTGTACTAGTGAAACATGCTAATAGTAATAATTCCAAATTACTGTAATTGTAATTCAAAATTTTGAAATTAATACCAAGTATTAGTGTAACAGAAAGTAGGCCTATAATTTACGGTACATTTCACCAAACTATGGTACCAACCTACCTTCCTAACAGAAAGAATATGCGAGTTTGTTAGGGGGCGAGTTTGTTAAGGGATGACTCTTTTCTGCTTGAGCCGCCAAGGGTGGTAGCGCATTTTGAACATTTTCAGGACTGTTTTGGAGATTGTGGACATTTAAATGAATCTTGCTACGATATATAGATGTGTATAAGAGACAGGAGAGTTTGTAGGGGCGAGTTTGTAAGGGGAGAGTTTGTTAGGGGCGAGATTGTAAGGGGCGAGTTTGTTGGGTGGGGGGGAGGCAGGCGAGTTGACTGGCAAAACAAACAAAAACAATTAATTTTTCCATTAACGCAGGAAAGGCCAATAATATAATCACTTCGGGTTCAGGCACACCCTATTACGGTAATAATGTAGAACAACAATAAATTGCGGACTTACCAAAGATGTTGCTGTGCACTTGGGCCTATCAACCATTATTGTTGTATCTGCAAATGTATTGTGCAAGAATCTTTGATATCAAAACATAATAAGCAGTCCAGTGTGTATCAACATTTCATGTATCTCAGATTGTGACAGCCATTTTAATGGAATGAAAAAAATTCCAATCACAACTGGCACTTGCCTTTCCAATGCACTTGTGATCTAAATTGACTGAAGTATGTGAAAGTTTTCAGGTTCACATCCTCGTGAAGTTTTCAGGTATTTTCCAAAATTTTTGATAATTTTTTGTATTTTTATATTATCGTTATGAATTTCAAATATTTAAAAAAATATAATTATTATTGTAATTATCTCTTTTGTAAATAACATGCAATTTGGCCTTTGGCCACCATATGTTATTAATTTTATGTAATTTTGAAATAAAGTGATATATTATGTATTTAATTCTTAGTCCAAATTCAATATTACATTGCATAACTTTATTGGTTGTACAGATTGAAAATAGGCTAAGTTTAGTCAACACTATTGTTAACATAATGACAGATACTTAGTGAGAATAGATTCATTCATTGTTGTTTAATGTGCCGGTAGTTTGGATGTATAGCATTCGGTATTCAGAAAAGTAAACATTCAATATTCTTTAAAATTGTGAAAGTAAATGGATGTCACATGAAACTCATAATGTTGGTTGGTTGGTAGATCAGTTAGTGCAGGAGAACCAATATAGAATAAATTAACTTTATTAAAGCAAGGTTTAGAAATTTCTGTAGATAAAACCAGAGATGTTTGGTTGTAAAACTAATAATACCTTCTGTTAGAACTTTTACTGCCTTTGGGAGACCATGTTTCTTCAATCTTTCAATAAATGCTCCCATCTCTCCTTCACAAATGATCAGTTTCTGTTCTAGAGCCATGATTAAACTCCAGCTGTCTGCTGCATGTTCCTCTGCAACACTATACAGCCCACTGATGTGTTCTATTTCATGGGAAGTCAGTGCCATTGCCAGATTTACAAGTCTTTGCCGATGCGGTGTGAATTTTGTGATTACAATATTCTTTATATCTTTTGGTATTGGGAATGGTTGATGTCGATCTTTAATTTCATTTTCTAGACCAAATTGTTGTGTTAAGTTAATAGTTTCAAAGAGGAGAGTGAGATCAGTTGGAGTCAGATGTCCAGCACCAATCAGTAACTTAATGATTTGCATTGTTTTAGAACACTCATGTAATGCTAAAGTGTCTTTTACATGTTCCCTGTACAAAACTTTCAACATGCTTTTGCTGTATCTACATCTGTCATACCATTCTGACACATCCAACATAAGACCTTTAAAATCTGCATCAGAACCTTCTAAAATGTAAACCAAAAAGTATATTATGCTTTATTTTACTGTGTGAAGATTTTCTTTTCAAATTTTTAATTGTTATTTGCAAATTGGGCAAATCTTTCTTTTATGCAAATTATATTTATTTTTATAGTTTCAATTGATCTATCTCCAATGGAAAAAGGCTCTGTAGAGGTGCTTGTTCACCTGTTCTGTACCTGCCAGTTAAAGTTGAATAAAATAAAAAATCAAAAAGGTATATAAGGGAAGTTTGAAAATTTCCTGACTGACAAAAGCTGAAGGTATGCCACAGTTACCGATATTTCCATAGTTGAAACATTGAACCTGCTGATTTACCACTAGCACCAAACCCCAGGATGGGAAAAAAGTTAGAAATCGAGTTCAAGGTAGGGTAATGGACTGTTTTGATATCTTTTATTTCTGCAACGAGGAATGGTAAATTTAGTATTGGACCTAGTATTATAGGAGTTCACCCTAGGGGAGGGAGCAAGGCGTGAAAAAACTTCAATTATGGTATCCGTGGAACTGCTCTAAATTTATTTAAAGATTATTAGGCTAATCGTCAGCAATGCACAAACTTTAACAGCACTTCTTCAAATTTTTAATTTTTAACTTATGGTGTCTCCCAAGGTTCCCTTCTTGGTCCTCTTTTGTTTCTTCTTTACATTAATGATTTACCCAACTCATCTAAAACATTTTACCTTTTATGCTGACAATACCACCATATTCTGTTCAGATTCTAACCTTGTTTCTCTTTTCAACTCCATTAATCATGAACTAAAAAATGTCACTGAAAACTTTAATGTTAATAAACTTTCGGTTAATGTTGAAAAATGCAACTTCATGCTGTTTGGAAGCCGCCACAAATCCAAATTTGAAGAGATAGGTAGTATTTACTGTATATTGGAGACCACCCAATTCCACATGTTCAACACACAAAATTCTTAGGTATTGACCTTGACCATGAACTTAATTTAAAAAATCATATAAAAGAAGTTGAACTGAAAATAGCAAAAATATTGGTATTATTTATCGTCTTTCTTTCTTTCTTTCTTTCTTCCTAGTCATATACTTTATTTTTCTAATACCCTCATTATAATATTGACAATATTGTGCTTAATCATTTCTCAATAAATTCCTTAACTTTGCATTCCTTCAAAAATTTGATTTAATATTACTTTTCCATTTCGCTTCTTGTGTATTCCAAATTTTGCTTGTGTTTACCAAATTTTCTTTTGTTTTTGTATATAATTTCTTAACTTTCCTTTCTTATTTTAATGTTTTAACTATTAACTGGACCTTAAGGAAGAACAATGTAAAAGTTGATTAAGTATCCAGAATAAAGAAAGATTTCTATTCTATTCTATTCTCCACTTTCCCATCTGCTCCGTGTTGTATCCGTGTTTCGTACTTGTTTCGGATATGAATTTATAGTTAATGACACTTGTGCTTTTCGTAATTATATGGGTTGCTCGCTACAAGTGCCACTTGATAAATGGTTTTTCTTTTCGTCCTTTGGCGTATACTTTTTGAGCAGTGCCCTCTATTACACAATTCTTCTTTTTTAATGAAATCCGGTTGTTTAATTTTATCATTTGTTATATTGTGTGAAGAAACAAAATGTTTATTTGAATTGAATTGAATTTGAATTAAATTGAAAAGTTTAGAATACGGATGAATAAGGGTTTTAGCAAAGGAATCACAGAGATTATGTCATCTATCACAAAGTTTATCCAAGTGAAATTCAAATAATACATCGTCATAAGATATGAATCATGTAAACAGTGATAAGGTCTACAGGAGGAACACCATGGTGTTTAAGGGCTATATAAATTACTACAGTCGAGTCCGCCGAATTCGACTCTGTTTAAGTCGAAAATTCGGGTCAGTCAAATTTTTTGAAAAAGTCACAATTCTTTCATATGTATTACCGTGTAAATTGTTTATTTAATTCAAATTTTTATATATCGACGGAATTTTCCGGTCCAGATAAGCCGATTTTAAAGTAATTTCAACTACACAAGTCAAAGTTCCAAATTTTGTAGCGCACGTGGGAAAATACACAGCCGTGGGAAAATACGAAGTTCAATCCTTGTTGTACGGCAACAAGTTAGCCATGTCAAAACTAACATCTAGCAGCGCGCTGCGGAACTTGGTTTACATGATCGTATGTCGTAAGTTGCAGTCTATTCTCACAATACAGACGCCCCTCCGGACCGGCTCCAATGTTCAGTTTGTTGTCCAGTTCAGTTTATAGAACTTGTATTGAACACATTTTGAACATGATTGTTGTAGTCTGGGCCTAGCTATTTAATTAATTTATCAAAGCCCAAGATTCTTTTTACTACGCAAGTACAGCTTGTGTACAGCTAAACGTCTCGTTTTCACAGCGTTTGGTATGCTTGTCGTTAAACAATGTCTATTTAACTATCGTCTGGTTTTTCCAGTGAGTTTTACCGTCCTGAATTGGAAAAATCGTCCGAGATGTTTGTCAGGAAAGTATTTTATTAAAAGAAGAATAGGAAAGATTTTGGGACTTTAAAAAATGTTCGGTTTTGCGTGAAATTCGATTTTGTGGGCATTGAGTACACATAGTATTGTTCTATTCGAGATCTGTATAACTCAAACTTTTTATGCCAGTCCCATTAGATTCGACTTAGGCGGAGTCGACTGTATTAGCCTTTTTGACAATATATTCAACATGTGAATCCCATTTAAGATTAGCTTGAAGTATACCCCAAGAACTTTAACAGTGTCAACAGTTCTCAGAACACGATTATTGAGAACAATAGATGAAGAAATAAAGTTCCTTTTGCTAAAACTAATGTCCATGTACAACATTTCTTGGGGTTAAGCTTCATATTGCTACCTGAAGCCCAATCATGTAGCGCAGTTGCACATGATTCAGACTGGTTAGCAGTTTTGCGATACTCGATTAATGTAAGATCATGGACATATTTGAATTGTTTAACAGGATTATTAACATTTTTCGTGGGGAAGGCATTGTTAATCATTGCACAGAAGAAAACGGGACCAATTTTGGTCCCTTGAGGGACACCAAAATTGACAATACAGGTATCAGACAATTGACCCCTGTACATGACTTGATGATGTTTGTTGCTAAGAAAATCTGCAATCCAAGCAACATTTTGAAGGAGAGACGTTCATATTTATTAGTTGGGAAACTGCAATCGTATGATCAAATAAGTCGAAGGCTTTTGAAAAGTTGGTGAACAAATTAGAAGATACAGTAGAAGAAATTTCAGCATGGCAATATAGCAAATCCATATGACTGATTAAACAATAAAATGATCATGTAGAAACTTTTTGCTGATTCCTGAACTACATCAGATCAAGCATGGTGGTACCGTATTCATTTCCACCAATGTATCTCTTACCACAAAATAGTCAGTAAGCACAATAGGTCATATATATCAAGGGTAGCTGGAAGCTTAGGATCCTTGGTAATAGTAACTACATGGGCACGTTTCCATTCATTGGGCACCTCAAGCGTACGGTAAGACTCATTAATAATACACGATAAAGGTTCGGCCAATTCATATGAGAATGTTTTGATGAACCGAGTAGAAATCATATCTGGACTACCAGCCTTTCTAGTTTTCAGTTTATTGATGATGCTGACGACATCCCATGATTGAATATGTCGAAGATTAGACGCAGGCAGGAAAATAGTTAGAGACAGCCTATCTAGCGGTTTAAGTTCTTTAGATGAGGATCGTTTGAGATGCTGAATTTTATATGATACGATACGATACGATAAGATATTCTTTATTGTCATTTGAACAACAGGGTACAAATGAAATTCAAGTGATTGTTCAAGGTACAATTTCAGAGAGGAATAAAGAAAAAAGTAAACTAACAAAGAACTCCAAAGAGACATGTTCAAATAACTTAAATCTAATGAATCATATTGAATTTATTGAATCTTATTGGTGGGTGTGGAGTCAGGATCAGGAAAGACATCACCATGACCCTCCGGCTACAGGAATAGGGGACAGCGCTGCCCTGAATCTGCAAAAACAGCCAGAAACTAGAAAATAGTCTGGTAGTCACAGAGACAGAAAACAGCTAACTGTCTGCCGGTGGATCACAGTGTGTCTCCATATCTCCTGAAAAGTCCCCACCCACCAATAAGAGACAGCAACATTTCCAGAAATGACTATCTACTGAAATGTTTATTGAAGACATGAATGGAATTATGAACAAAAGATTGTCTACAACGTTTAGTGTTTTGATTTAAGGTGATTAGTCTGCCAGTTCGGCTTTTCTTATAGTACTTATTTAATGGGTGATCAGGATTCTCGCAGATTTTTTTTTTTAACTGTGCGGAGTATGTCCATTTCATGTAACTCATCCAAATTTTCAGGATTTTCCCCAGTAATTTTGCTGGCCCACTTTACTATTTTAAATAATTTATTTTTTTCAGCTTGTGTAAGAGTTGAGAACCAAACAATGGAACCAAAGAGCAGAACACTTCTAATTACACTTTTGAAGAAAAGATTTAAAATTTCACAGCTAATATTGAATGTTTTTTGTTTTCTTAGGAAAAACATCCTTTGACTAGCTCTTTTTGTAATTGATTGTGTTTGCTTCCCAGTTTAATGTTTTATCAATGACAACGCCCAGGTACTTAAATTTGTTCACAATTTCAATGTTTTGATCGTTAATGGTGAGAGCATTTGGTACTCTGGTTTTACTGTGTCGAAAATCAAATATGATCTCCTTAGTTTTATCTGTATTTAAAGTAAGATTATTGTTTATACACCATGTGACAAATTCATTAATGGACTGTCTGTACTTTTGCTCATTATTATCCTTAATGGATCCAATGATGACACTGTCATCAGCATACTTGAGTAAGCAGCAGTCATCAACATCAAAATTAATCTTGAAATCATTAGTATAAATGCTAAACAAAACCGGGGAAAGTACGCACCCCTTTTTTATTTTATTAACATAGAATAGATTTTTTGCTACTCGAATTAGACGATTGATCTTCTTTCTTAGTTCGCGATAAAGGTGTTCATGATTTTTGCGAATGCTTTTTGTCTCTTGACAATAAGTGCTTTAATTTGCGATGGCATCCTTTGGCTCTCAGATAACATTGCGCGCTATAGTTACACATAAAAATACTTAGCCCCCCAGTCGAACATCTTACCCCCCCCCCCATAAATTATATCCTAGAGCCGCCACTGTCCATACGCACGTATGTTACTGTCAGGCATAGGACGCATGATATGTTTCCTTATAAAGTTGGATTGATCCGACAGTCCAATGGGAGGCAAAATGTAAGGGTGCTGATATGTTGAACTTATATTGGTAAGGATCTTACATGTAGGTTTTTTGAACACTTGCTTAATTGAAATAGATAGAACACAATTCAAATTGAGGTGGGTGAAATCTTCAACTATACATATCCTTTACCACTACCCAAGCTGTTCGGACAAAATATTATCAATCGTAGAATTATTCAAATAATTGAAAAGAAGTCGCTGATAGTAAATTACACCTACCACGATATTGGTGACAAATCTGGGCAAGTGGAGAGGTCTCAGACTGACCCATAGACCTTCAATATCATCTGGTACAATAATGTCAGTGAGCACCTTACATTTAATGCTGTCCTTAACATACAGGGCCACACCTCTACCACTTTTGTCGATTCTAGGCCTGGAAAAAGTACAATAGCTGTCGGTGTTTGATAGTTCAGCAGGTAAGTTAGCAAGAAACCAAGATTCAACGATTCCAGCAACGTCGGTATTATTGGATTCCAACACAACACTTAATTCGTTGAGTTTGTTATTTAACGATCTTGGGTTACAGAAGAAAAGCGTAGGCAATAGATCATGACATCCACGACTAGCATTATAATTACAAACAACCTTGATCAAATTACCAGATATGCAACCTCTGCTATTGGGGTTTGTAACTGTAGTTAAGGATCTCAGCTGTGTACGGGTTGTGATACACCTCAACTTGTTGCACCCACCCCTGCAAACACGGGGTTTAAAACAAAGCACTGGATGGCTTGTGTTTTGTATCGCATAGGCTGAGTAACATCTGTCTCAAATAGTAACGCATTCCAATATTACGTAATCTCAACAACAAAAGGCTCGGTAAGTAATTATCTGAGCAGCACATGGTAGGCAGCGATTCAGGATCAGTCAAGGTAGCACAAAAACCAAGACGAAAATTTATGCAAATAATACCGAAAAGGGTCCTCACAACAGTAACAACAGCAAACCTCACAACAGTAACAACAGCAAACATTAACATAGGAACCAAACAAGAATACGAATTAAAGGGAAACAATAATTCCCAAAGCTGCCAATTGAGGTGCGTCCGTTTACAATCAAAGCTTGTTTAAAAATCCAAATGATTGTACCTATGAGAGAAGTACTGAATAAGTCCTGCCCCACAATTATAATTGGGATTTTAACTATCCGGGATTGACTGGAATAGTCTTGATTCTAATTTGAAAGGCCAGCAATTCTTGGATTTTGTCCAAGACCTTTACCTTGTGCAACATGTTGTACTAGAGGGGCAATGTCTTAGACCTTGTGTTGACTAATGAGGCAAACATGATTCATGACAATATTATATGCATTGGTAGACTTGGCCTCAGCAATCATAATATGCTTGAGTGCTCTTGCACTGTTGACACATTGATTAAAATGAGTACTGAGTTTGCATATGATTGTGGGATAGCAAATTGGAGTAATCCTCGGGCAACTTTTAATATGGTTGGAAATAACTGAGCTTTCTTCAATTTCAGAGGCATGGTCGGATTTTACATCAGTTGTTGACAAAATTATACATAATAATATATTGCCTTTATTTATGAACAGAAGTACTGTTAGATTTTTGCGTAGGAAGAGGAAATTATGGCGGCGTTATTGTAATTCAAATGATTATCAAGACTATTTAGATTAAAAGAAATATTGTTTTTTGTAAAATATTTGTTGTTTACCTTTACTTACTGCCATGTTGTCAGAAATACAGTTGTTTTTTTTTAATGTTGTTTATTTCTATACTCATTCATTTCTGTAACAAAATTCCAAAGTAACTAGAAGTTACAAGAATACTTTTACCATATTTTTCTATGAATACTTATCTACCTTTTATGACAAATTTATAAAGCAATAAAATCTTTAATATCTCATAGCCTAGACATAAATTCACTGCTGATATTTTTTGGCAATGAAGATCTAGTTTTAAAGTGCAGACATAAATAGAGTTCTGTGTGAACAGAGTCATGGTTCTTTATAGTGGCATACTGTATGTACGAGGGAAGGGAATGGAGAGCACACTCCCTATCCCCCCATACATGGGTGGATCCAGGATTTGAAAGAGGGGGTTCAAAATGTTTCCAGAAAATGAAAGGGGGTCCGGCGTCCTCCCCCTGGAAAATTTTGATTTCTAGATGGCCGGAAATGAGCTTTCCCAACTTCTAAGGTGTCTTTTAATGACCTTTAATTTCTTCAAAATTCAAAGTTTTACCCCTCTTAAAAAATAGGTGAAGTGATTTTATCTCATTCTTAAACAAAGATATAGTCAGTACATTATTAGGCCTATATTCCAACAATAATGCAGTGGCGGATCTAGAGGGGGTGAATAGGGTGGCTAGACACCCCCTTCGGTGACTGTAAAAAAAACGGTCACTCGTCTTGTGTGTGTGCTTCTCAAGTATACATACTCTCGTAAAACATATACTTTCTATTTTAAGCTTAACTTCTTTTCAGATGTCATCCAAGAGCGTCTAGACGTCCACTAATTCCAAAAAAAAATCTCAAATGTAAGCGGATGCCCTCCTAAAAAAATCCATGATCAATGGGGATAGGGAATACATACCCAAATATATTTAAGAGGGTGGGGGGAGGAGGTTTGGTCCCTCAGTTTTTGTCTGCAATGTAATAATTTCTTAAGTCAAGAAGAAGTTGCCTGAAAATTGTTGAAATGAACTGCATTGAAGACTTGTACAGCCAGTATTCTATCTCTGCCCACAAACATCTGAATTACTAATAATAATAATAATAATCTTGATAATAATCTATAATAATAATATAGGGCCTATACTAATAATAATTGTGATTAAATTAATATTATTATTAATAATAATAATAATAATAATAATAATAATAATAATAATAAGTTTTCGGCACAGTGAATGTAAATAAAAAATACATCAAAGACAATTGAGTTTAATTTTCAATGGAACACCACAGCGATTAATTAGATGGTGATGAATTTTACCCAAGACTGTCATTTCCGGCAACCTAGAGGTATTTCCCCAAATGTTCCCACCTCAGCCCTTAGGTGTTGACTAGGCTGTGAAGTAGGTAGGCCAAAAGTAAATGCATCACAACAATTAGATTTGGTTGCTGCAAATTGCTGGTGAATTTTACTGTATAGAGTGTCATTTCCGATCATCTACAGCTAACTATTTCCTAAAATTTTAGAACCTCAGGCTCAACCATGGTGGGCCTGAGGTGGGTGTGGAGTCACAAAATGTCCCCTTCACCTTTAGAAACAGATCTGCGCCATTTATCTTATACTAGATTCAATTCAATTAAAACTTGTTCATTAACTTCTTGTAACTGATATTAGATCTTGGGTAATCTATACACAGATCCAGTCATGAATATTTTGATCTTCATAAATTTTTATCTATCTATAGCATTTAATTACAAATACTTACATTCGGATTTCTTCTTCAGTGTATAAGCTGAGAAGTTGAATCGTCTGGTTTTTCCCAATTTTATTTTTAGTGATGTGACCTGGTGTAGGCTGTGTTGTGTTTTGTGTGGATCCAAGTTTCATTGTCATAAAATCAGTCATGCAGAGAACTATTGGTTTTGATATCAATTTAATTTTTAATCATGTCATACTCCAAGTATAGAAGTGCACGCCATCGTGTCAATACTTGGAGTATGTATTATATTATCTTATCTGAGATCAATCAGACCTTTTTGTCCCCATTCTTACCCCATTAGTGCCATCTTTGGCAGATTTAGGTGAGGCTGGGACTGGCTCCAGCCCTCCCTTTCCCCCTTTTGGAAAGCAAGAAAAAAAAAAAAAAAACCTTATTTTTTTTTTCAAATGTTTTCGCCACATTCCAACGTGTTAACTTGATTGGCACCACTTTTGGCACTCCCATTTCGGCCCCTCTTTCGGATATCTCTAAATCCGCTCTTGGCAGCCACTGTTTTTGTAAACTATATCATCCTTTTAAAATACAATATAGGAAACATTTAATTTTTAAAAATTACAAACTACAAGAATTTAACAGTTACAAATAGGTGGCCTAATTTAATATTATAATAACAATTGCAATTTACAAGTAATAATAATAATTACTTGATCACAAATTAAATGTGTTTTTCACAAGGCCATTTTTAAAGTAAATATTAACAAAATTTAAATTACAAAAACAATTACAAGACAAACAGAAATAAAGAATGTAAAAAGAAACCAAAACTAGATTTGAACTCGTCACTGAGGACGAGTTCGGTGATCCGCCGTACTTTGACCCTCATAAAGCTCACGCGGTGCTGATTGAAAAGTGTCATAATATGCTAAAATATGCTGTAATTAGTTTTTTAAAAAAGAATAATTTTGAGCATTTTGAAAGATTTACGCATGTGTACACGTACGTCTTGACGCCCGTGAGCACGGTAATAGCACAAAGAGTGACTCCTGATATGAATAATGTGTCAGGAACACAAAGTATGTAGCAAACGTGATTTCCAGCTTCAGTACGTGTTGCGTGCGTGGAAATGAACGTATGGCGCGTAAAAATGAAAAGTTTTGGAATGCTGAAAATGACTGAATAGTGATATGGAGAATTTTCAAATTTTTACAGACGCGCACGTCACGATGTGTGCGTGTACAGTAATGGCACACGAAATTAAACATTGTCAAGTGTTTTTAAAACCGCCTGTTAGTTGGTAATGCCACACAAATTTTCCCTTCATATAACCTATATAAATAGTGTCTGATAGCGTCGAAATACAGTCTCTATCTGTTCCATTTCTTTACATCTTTTGAGAATGAGAGATAAAAGGGCTCCAAAAATTAGTTCTTTTTGACCATGCTGACGTGATGAAAATGAAAAATAAAGGGACACGTCTGAAAGAGAATTGATTTAGCTATAATATACTCACAGGTGGGAGACAATCAATCAAGATAAGCGAGATACATTCAAACAAGTATAAAAAGTAATGAAATCATAAATAAAAATTGAGTTTTTGTTAATTTAAATGGCAATATGATGACATCACAATGTCCGATCAGTCATTATGTAAGAAAAATGTAAGAAATATGTAAGAAAAATTGGGGGTCACCTTTCATCCTAAGTAGCTATATTTGATTATAAATAGCTTGGCATAATTATAAGCATATGTAATTTTTAATTTTTGACGCATGCGTACGTGCACGTTAAGATGCGCACACAAAAAAGTAAGATACCTAACATTCAACTTTGACCTGAAGTATAAGCCCATTTAATATTATTCAGAAATGACGAATGGTTAATGGTGGTTTTTTAATTCAGATAGCAATACTGTATGATGACGTCACAATGTCCGATCAGCTATTATGATATATAAAATAATATCTACAGCTCATGTGCTTTCAGAATATGTAATAAAAATTGGGGGTCACCTTTCATCCTAAGGAGCTATAACTGATTGAAAAAAAGACATGATATAAAGCATATTTTAATTTTGACGCACGCGAATGCTCGCGTTATTATGCACGCACAAAAATATAATGTGCATAACATTTAACCATGACCTGAAGTTTATGGAAGGAAGGAAGGAAGGAAGGAAGGAAGGAAGGATTCTGACAATAACAAGAGGTGATTCGCTAATGTTAGCGGATCACCAATTAAAATGTGGTACAATGATCGACTTGTACAGCATTGACTGTATGTTTGGGTGCAAGATATAATTACTTTTCCTAAGGTAGTATAATCCAGGAAGATCTTTGTTTATTACATTATTAATTTGTTTATTCCAAGTTAGATTTTTATCTATGATTACCCCTAGGTGTTTACAGTGATTAACACTCTTAATGTTTATACCGATCAACACTCATTCCTGATGATGACATAATTAATGTCGAAATATTGAATCCCAACACGATGGCGTGTATTTCAATACTTGGAGTATGTATTATACTTTCTCAACACTCTTAATGTTTATACCATTTATGTTTATATTTAGATTTGAGTAATTTATTTTTGTTAATTTTTGATGAGTACCTATAACCATATATTCAGTTTTGTTGACATTTATATAAGTTAATTTGTTTTTTATTAGCCAGTTTTTAACATTTATTAGATCAGAATTTAATTTAATTGCTATATCATTAACATTCTTTGCAATACAATGGATTACTGTATCATCTGCATAAATACTTGTTTTACAATTAGAAACACAGTTTGGGAGGTCGTTTATGTAAAGTATAACTATTAATGGTCGAAGTATTGAACCTTTTGGTATCCCACAAGTGCTACTACGGCAGCGTTGTCACTCCGTTTATTTTAGTTGCGTGTGTTCGGTCTTGCAGGAAATTTTTTAACCATTTTATTATAAAGCATGTGGATTAAGATTAAAGTTGTTTAGCTTATTAATTAAACGATCATGGTCAACAGTGTCGAAAGCTTTTTTAAGATCTAACATTACTAATCCTATAAGATTACCTTTATCAATCGCATCAATCTATCTTCAGTAATGTTTAACAGAGCGAAAGTAGTTGAGAAATCAATATTATGATTTATTTCTTAATTTCTTGAATTCATTCCATAAATTTGGAGTATTTTCTCTGTTAGCTTTTCTCTTAATAGCATCCGCTCTCTCATTAATATTACTAAATCATTAGTGATCCACGGGCTGGTTTTAGGTCTTACACATATTTGCTTTATAGGAGCATGTCTATTGGCTATATTTAAAGATTGTTCCTCAAAAAATTTTAGTGCATCATCAACATTTGAGTATTTTGTTATATTAGCCCAGTTAACATTTTGCATATCAATTAAAATGTTTATAGCTTATTATTATTATTATTATTATTATTATTATTATTAATTATTATTATTATTGTTACTTGGCCATGCAGTATTTTATGTCAAGTTGTTTACTGTTTACAATATATTGTGACAATGTGAAGAATCTTCTGTTCTCTTGTTCATCTGTTCAGCTGTTTCTCAAATATACAACTGAAAACCTTATACTTTCAAATTGTTAACATTATATTTTTTTTAAACTCAGGGCTGGAGCATTATTATTTTTTCAAATAATACAATACTGGTATATCTGCCATTGGGAGATGATTATAGATCAG